TTCTCATATCTTTCCATTCTTGTCTTCTTTTTAATAAGAATTAAACAAAAATAAAATAGAAAATGTATTAAAAATATTATAAATGACTTATATTTACAACCTAAATTTATTTTTAAAAGTACGGGTGGTAATACGAGTCAATTTGCAGGTTATGGGTTGACTCGTGACCAGTTGGATCATGTGGGTCGAGTTACAAAGGGTTAGTTACGTTGAAGGCGGATTGGCTAAAAGCCAACCCTAATCCACCAAGGTAGGTTGGCCCACCAACCCGCCAACAATTTTTTTTTTAATTTTTCTATCTTTTAATATTTTTCTTACTCAATATTCGAAAAAATATAATGAGATTTTTATTGTTTTGGAAAATATTTGATTGAAAATACCAAATAAATTATATAGATATATTTTTAAATTTTTTAGATAGGATATAATATATAACAATATACTTATAATAATTTAAAAAAATTTAAAATAAAAAAATGTGGGTCAGCTTGCGGGTTGGTAGGCTTGGCGATATGGGTTAAAAAGATTCGTTTAGGCTCTAACTTGTCAGTTTTGGCAAGTTGACATATTAGACCTATAGGTTCAACTGATGTTACCAGCCCTACCAATAAGTAACTTACCTTTAATAGCCACATGATATGCTTTAACTGCTACTTCGTTCCTTATTATAAGATATTTTTAACTAAATTGTGCGGTTTAAGAAAACAGTTAAAATTAGCTAAAATCAATTAATATGTGGCAAATATAATTTTTTTCCAAATAAACCCTTATATATAAATGGATAGATGTGAAAGAGTAATAGTGAGATGAATGAAGAAAGAGAATGTATTAATGCATTAAATATTCAGACAAACTCAAAAAGAATCTTATAAAAAGGATAAATATATTTAAAAAATTAAATCTTATAATAAAAGACAGAGGGAGTATTTTTAAAAATGAAAAAACACTCGTATTAATGCTTGGAACTCATCATTCACGATGGTTGTTACGAAAATGAGGGGTTTCTGCGAGGGACACGTGTGGAAGAAGGAGAGGAAGAGAGAAGAAAATGGGAGAACAAGTTAAAAGGCAAAAGCAGAACGAGAAATGGAACAGGGGAGAACAGAGGCCTGGGCCATATCTTGCATTCGAAAGGCATGCCACTTTGTCTATCAACCGTGCTTTCCACCTCACCACTTTGCTTTCTTCAGAGCATCCTTTCTTGTTGTGGCGGAACGAACCCACTAATTTCCACTAAAGAATTGACATATTGAGAGGGGCTGATTTTGCCATTAAATTATTTTGTGAAATCACATTTAAAAATGTTTATAAATATGTTTTATATAAGTTGAGACAAAATTTTTTTCCACATATTTACCTTGTTTTTATAAATCATAATTAAAAAGCTGTTTATAAACTATTCCAAAAGAATTTTTTTATTTTTCAGAAAGCATTACATATCATAAATTAGTAAACAATGTAATATTGTCGACTAATCTTTTCAAAGGCTTCAATATTGTCCCTAACACCTATAAATGAAGCAAATATTTTTCTGCGAAGTTCAATGATGAAACAACTATTGATCAAGATATATATCGTACATATAAAAAAAAGAGAGGATGGTAGAATAATTGAAGCTAAAGGTTTGAAATTTTTGTTGCATGATGGTGACAAGAGACAAAAATTTACAGCTACAAATATTATTTATAGGGAGATGTTTAGAAATTTGTCGGTTGGAAGGTGAAGAATGAGGTGAAAAAGCAATTGTATTGGCATCAAAGTAAGTGTTGTAACACGTATGACTATGAATTGCTTGATAGCAAAATTGTTAAGTTCTTAACTTTTTATTCCAACTGTGATTCTTATGCTCAGCTAGTGTTGAATAGTCAAAGTATGCGCTGTGGAAGTTGATGTATATGTTAATAATGCTAAGTTGAGTGGAGATGATTTGTGAGTAACGATGATGTGTTGATTGTGCGTTGCCATAAAGTATTGAGTAATGATATGTGGGGTGATTTTAGAATAAGTGGATCACACGTCATATGTTTATGGTGAATTAATATGGGAAAGAAATGGGATAATTTATGTGAAGGAATTGAAAGCATCCTATGCGGGGCTACTTGCTAATTACTAAATGAGTTGATATAATTTTTTATCTTTGAATTTGAGCCTATTTTAATTTTAGTCCTTCAAATTCCAAACCCATGATTTTAGTTCCTACAATTTGTTGTCTTAAAACGTTAGTTCCTGAAAGTGCAACCATGTTAAAATATGCTGAAATATCATCAATGACATTAAAAGTGGTGATGTGGACTCACCAGATGACACCTAACTGGATCTTATATGGATAACAAATTGCAGGCAGTGAGTACTTCCTGAAAATGAATAATGAGGAGGAAAAACAGAAGGCTAAAGAGATACGTTTCAAGGACTTTTTTTTCCCCCTCTATTATCCACAAAAAATTTAGTTAGATGCCATTTGGTGAGTCTGATCACCACTTTAATGTTATTTATGGTACATTAGTAGATTTTAACATTGTTACACTTCGAAGACCAACGTTGTAAGACAGATTAAATTTCAGGGATTAAAATTAAAATAGATCCCAAATTTAAGAGACCAAAAATTATATTAATGCTTATTAAATAATGTAACGTGGATTTCTAATTTTTTAGAATGCTACAATATTACCCCTACGACTTAAAAAGGCAGCACTTGTTAGTTCTGTGCAACTCATCAAGTATTGATTTTAGTCCGTTTTGACATGCACACATCAATAGGCACTGCACTAGTTTTAGTGAAAAGAGTCTTGACCATTTAAACATGAGATCACAAGTTCACGTAAATGCAGAAAACATCTTTAGGAGAATTATTTCTAATCGGACTCGACAATGCTAAAATATGATTCAATCAAATAGTCATACCAAACATACACACACACAACTTAGGAGGCATTAACTGCTTGAAATTACAAGTTACACCTAACATGTCAAGTCCATTGACGTGTTTTTTTATTCATAGTTAATACATGTTTCTAGTTGGCCATAAAATTAAAAAAGACAAATTATTATACAGAATAGTAGATAAGATGGCAAGGAGCTTCATATGCACTTGTATCACACCTTTAATAAGCAGCTACTAATAACTAGCTAGCAACTCCTACTATGATCAAGCCTTAACTAACTTGAAATGCTGCTTCTTATTACGCAACCAATCAATCACCAATTTTTTCAGAGTGGAAAGCTTCCCAAGCAACCATCTAATCAATGGCAATGGATTTAGAGACTGTTTAATCACTGATGGATTTATAATGGAAAGGCCTAAAGAGAGGGCCACCAGAGATGATAGGACAGGGTAAAGGCCTCCGAAGTTAGCTATACTCAAACTTGATGTCTCTATATCACTTTGGTCTTCAAATTCCAAATCTTCATTGGAGGTGGGTAAAGAGCTCTTGGCCATCAGCATCCGATATGACTCCACATCTTGAATCACTTTTAAGATTGCATTCGAGAAATGCAAGACCAGGCTAGATTTCTTTGGGAATGCCTGAAAAAATAATAAATATATAGCATCTCATTAAAGTTCTAAAGACCAACCAGTAGTATATGATGCTTTATGGACTGATTAGCAAATGATTTAATTTGATAGCCATTAGGTAAAGTTATAGTGCACAAGCTTTATATATATATATTGAAGGTGCTCTTTTTTTTTTTTTGAGACTTGACAATGACAAGATTCGAATTCAATTCACATGTGGATTCTAAATAGATGCAATAAAAATCTTAATCATACAATTTGGGGGTACTCTCTCCCATCCTAATTATATGTCAAAGTTTTAAATTAAAGCCCTACTTAGTCTTAATTAAATGTAGGGCAAAAATGTGATAATTAAAATTTTTTAATCTCATATCCTTCCTTAGTGGTAATAAGTTGGTCACATGCTTCAATTCTTAGACAACATTTTATTGTGGGGTCATTAATTTTAATAATATTCATATTTTTACGTAAATTGCCTCGAAAACGCAACATTAATTAGTTGACCTTACCTTGTAATAATTAAGAAGAGTGGAGTAAGTAGACTTACAAAGGCAAATCCACCAGTTTTGTAGAGTGGTCGTGTCATCATGAATTGAGACTTGTATTTGGAGAGGAAGAGCGTGAGATAAGGAGTTTCATCAAAGATAGCATCTATTGTTCCATTTGACAATGCTCTATTGTACTCTACACGACCTCGCAAAGGCTTTAACTGCTCAGGCTTGAAACCTATTTGTTCAATCAAAAGCCCTCTCACCCACGACCCATCTCGATATCCCACATGCAGATTGCTATTCTTAATAAGCTCTTTTTCATTCTCAAATGAAGGCACTTTCATCTTTCCTTGTGTTAACATTGAAGTTAAACTCGCTGTGTAGACTTGCACTACCAAGATGAATAGGAATGACGTCAGTATCACCATCCATCCTGCAGCTCTGCTTTTAAGTTTCTCCATAGCATTTGTCATAGAGTACGTACGAGGCGTAAATTGAAACATAATAACATATATAATCAAAGTATATATACGTACATGTACATGTGTGTGCCACGTAAGAGATGAACTCACCGATCTTGTAAACAAGGAATGGGTTGTAGTAGAATTCTTCAGTTTTTTTTCTTCCTTCACTGCCTTTGGTGTTTTTGTTGCTTTCTAATATGATTATGATAATAGTTGCACCCACAAAAATAGCAACAAGAATTAACCACAGTAACCAGTTGAAAGGTTTCAAAAGGATCCATTTACTTGTGGTGGCCTTCTTCACCATTACCACCATTGCTACTCTTGAATCTAAATACGGCAATGTGAAATCAACACAGTCTGTGCGGTTTTCCACAATTGTGATGTCTCCAATTATAGCATCAAGATCCTGCAAAAAATATTTTCACACACAGACCAAGTGTGAAGGTAAAAAGAAGAACCTGTATAAGCATTGTTAAGTATACCAGTATCATACCTGACTTTCCACTATAAACTAAAAGAAGAAACAACTCAAAGAGGAAAAGAATGAAAACCTGCCTTCACTTTCAGCAATTGGTCGCAGAGAAGATCATCAAAGGTCATGCCAGTATCATCCAAGCGAACAAACTCATAATTATTTAACAGAAATGGCAAAACCTGGACTGCTTTTAAGAACACATTAACAGCAAAGCCACCACTATCAATCTGGAGCTTACTTAAATTATATGCATTCACAAATTCAGGAAAAGAATTTGTTTTAGGGACTCCAATTCTCAACTTGGGTGGTTTATCCAATGTGTCGCCTGGCCATAGTGGATGCTTTAGTGGGTATTCACCATCAGATGTGCTGCTACCTTTACTACAATTTTGAACAAGTCTAGTTTTAGGGCTCCAGCATCCGATTATCCTTTCTCTGTCTCCTATCACATTGTATACTTCAAGCTCCGATTGATATAGTCGCCCATCACTTAAATTAAAATTTACCCCTGACTGACTTTTGAAATCAGCAGCCTCCTGAATATCTTTACTGCGAAGTTTTATGCCATTGTCTGTGCCTTGCTTCTTTACCACCTTAGCCAATACTTCAATTGTGTGGTAAGCCCACCATCCATAGATAGTTAGGGTAGTCCTGAACCTATTAGTGAAATTCTTCTCTTTCTCCCAACGAATAGTTGTCTTTTTGGAGATCAAATCCATTGGCCTCACTCCCAAGGCACCTTGCATGTATCTTTTCAAAGCAACAGAAACAGTAATATTCCTATATGTCGTCTGGTTATAATACAATCTTCTGGTAGTATTAACTCGAGGATCTGTCAAAGAAGATAGCTCTTGGGTAAGTATCCAAGCATATCCTTCACCCATCATGTTTTGCTCTTCTGCAGAAAAAACAAATCTTGCTCCGAGATCCATGCTCATATGGACAAGAAATACATGTGTGCGCATGTCCTTTAACTGGAGGAGAGTGTCGTTAATTTCACCACATGATGAATCTGAATCAACGGCAGTTACGTTAGCCATTCGTATGCCCGTATCTTTCAAGACATTGGAGAGGCATGGAACAAGGTGACTGCCATATTCAATGTCTTCATAAATAGGGATGATTGATTGCCACCCAAGAGCTTCAATAACCTCAGCGATAGCTTGGAACTGAAAGCAGTCAAGGCCTTGATGGGAGTAGATGGACGATGGGGATGGTGGGGGCAAAAGAGATGGACCAGTTATGGGAAACCAAATAACAGGTACTTGGTATTTCTCACCAAGTTCCACTACAAACCTTGCTTGCTCTGACTTTTGGGGCCCCAAGATGGCACGTACTGTTCTATTCTTTATCAGATGGTAAGCTGCTTGCATATATAATCAGAGATTTAGAGGTTGTCTCCCACTTCTATCACCTTGACCTCTCCATGTATGTTAACATAAAGTAAGCTTATTTTGTCACATAATATGTCTACTCTATGTTAACTTGGAGAATCAGGGAGACAGGAAGGGAGAGCCAACAGAGGGAAAAAAAACCATATTAGGATCATAATATTAATTTAGTTTTAACTTGGATCCAAAAAATTTTGAAATTTTACTGAAGGGCTTTTTGTTATTTAATAATCATAATATTACAGAACTAACATTTTCCTCTAAAATGTTCCATGTTAGATTTTAAAAAGCCAGCTGCAAATTGAATTATTTCATACATATATAAACAGTAGTAAATTACGGATGGAGAGTGTCATGTTTGCAGCATATGCAGTCAAATTTTCACATTGAATTTTTGAAATTTAAACTTTGATATGTTAAAAATTTGTAGTTGATGGCGTGCTTACTTTTGTTATGAAACTATAAGGACTACTACATTAGTTTTCCCAAAAAAATATACTCCTCCGGTCCTAATTATAAGACCCAATTGACTTATTTGAGGAGATTAAGAAAGTAAGTTAAGTTGGTTATTTATAATAAATAAATGTTGTTATTCTTAAAATATCCTTGCTAATTAAGTATATTGGCTAAAACTATCATTATTAGAAGGATTATCTTGGAAAAAAATACATAAATATAAGAGAGAAAATGGATTGGGTCTTATAATTAGGACCAAATAAAAAGTCAAATTGGGTCTTATAATAAGGACCGGAGGAGTAACACTTGATGAGGCTTGCTGATAGCATTATGGCTTAATGACATTATTATTACATTAAGCCTAATCTAGGACAGATTCGAGCATTATCTTGTCTAAGTAAAAGTATGCCTCCCAAAGAAGTCTTTTGCATTCATACAAACCTGAGACTTTTTGGTTAAACAACCAAAACCCCTTCTATAAGGATGAAACACCAGTTGGTGATCTCACTTATAATTTCATTCAGCTTATATTCAGAAAAGAACGAGGCTTGAGCTCGCTTTTTACAGCAAACTGCAAGTCCAAGAACCTAAAGCAAGCTAAGCTTTCGGTATGTGTTGTGGGTGGTTTTTTGTAAATTTCAGAAGATATATGGAGAGTGTAGTACTGTTACCTGCTCTTTCCGCGGCGACGACTTCGTTCCGAGGAACATCCTGGACTACATGTTCAATCTTGGTGGCTGCACGATTATTAGCGGAATAGTAGTCTTCGATGGCGAAGGTGAAGCTGCGGTTAACTTTGGAACCAAAAGTTGAATTCAGATCAAGAATGACGCCTACGGGCACTCCATCTGGTTCGGCCGCCATGGAAGCTCTAAGCCATAACAGTACTAAGACCACACTCATACTTGACACACAGCAAGCTTTCAGGCTTTTCTGCAACTCTGCCGCCATTATTGACCTCAACTATCTCTCTTTCTTCATCTTCCTTTTTATATACGTAGAGATATATATATGTGTGCGTGCGCGCGCGCCCCTTATTACTATTATTATACCCCTTTTTTTGGACCAGCATATACCGCTTTTCACTGTTGTTTTTTGCTTGCTTTTGGGATTAATTTTTCAACTACGATTTTTACATCCATGCATTTGTATATATTTATCAACCAGTTTTTTAGTACCTATTATTACGATGAGCATCATCCTAACCGTACAAATTTAATTCGTCATGCTTATTCATTCTTTTCTTTCTTATCTGTCGTAAAATTTAGAATAAAATATTCTGACTATCTTTTTATTTTGTATCAATTAGGTAAACTTCTCCTCTATTTTAAAATGATACAGTTTAGTTCAATCAATTAATCTTATTGAAAATATTCTAAAAAGATTCTAAAAATATTATTTTTAACAGAAATTTATATTAAAATAAATTTTATTTACTATTTTACCTTTATTTTAATAAATTTCTATATCATATTTTTATGGTTACACGAATTTCATTCAGTTAAAGTAAACACAAAACACTTGAATGATGTGTTTATATTTTTATAGTTACATGAATTTTGTTTACTTTCTAATGTTAACCTTATTATTAATTCAAGTTTAATGCTTATAAGCTTATCGAACTCCATGTTTTTCTACTTCCATCATTTAAGTTCAGAGTAAACTTGAAAAAAAAATTTATCAATTTATAACAAATTTAATGCTTCAACTTCCCATTCATTGGCATGTAAGAATTAGAATATATTTGGAATGGCTTATAAATAATTTTTTAATTGTAATTTATGGAATACAAAGTAACTAGGTGAGAGGAGTTTTATTTCAGTTTACGTGAAATATGTTTATAAGTGATTTCAAACAATAAGCCAAATGGGGCTTTAGTTAGTTGATAATGTCCTATGATAAGGAGCCGATGGAGTTTTTTTTTTTTTTTTACACATTTGCTATCTTTAACAAATTTTGACTAATATTTTGAGTTGCGTGATTTAATTATTGAGTAAAATACATCAACCATCCTCTATTTGACCTAAATCATAGAGATCTCCTTTTTATTTTGAAAATCTACATGAACTTTTTTTTAAAATCAAAATATATGTTGCACAAAACTCTTTTTTAATTTTGAGATTCAACTTTCATTCACCTGACCATTAGTTCACTATTAAACTATAATGTTAACCAAAGCTCCTTAATACAAATTTTTATTTTGCAATAAATTTAAATGTTTAATCTCGTTGTGATATAATTTTTTTAAATATATATGTTAGTTAAAAATATTTTCTAATCGTATATATGTATATTTAATTAACTTATAAAGTGATATTTTAATTTAGTAAAAATATTAAATAGATCATTAATAAAAATCACTATTAAAAGATAAACTAGAGATTTGATGTAATGCGAGATAAAGTAGTAAACAAGATTTATTCTAATATAGTTTTTATTTAAAACATATTTAAAGAATCTTGTTTAGAATATTCTTGAAACCGCTAATGATTTGGACTAAATGTATGTTTTCAAAATAGAAAACAGGTTTGGATAATTAAGATAAAGCAAAAAATGATCAGAATATTTTATTCTTAATTATTTGATGTTTGCATTTTAAGTAAGGGGGAGTAATTTACTGATTTTTAATTGAAGAAAAAGTTAAGCGGAATTTTGGACATGCGCCAAGATTGGTTTGGGAGGGGGGAAAAAAATAAAAGGAAGAGAATGACGTTGGCTGGAATGATGCGGGAGAATCATGCATGAGAGAAGACCGAATAGATAAGCATCAAAATGATGGACATTGGGTCAATGGATGTGTGACACGTGTCCTCAACTATTTCTCTTTTTTGATACGGCGCTTGCGGCAAAGGAGTGAAAGATAAAACTGCCCCTTACAATTTTTTTTTCCCTATTTAGGATGTTACCTACGCATTCCTACTCCTACAGTCCTACTTGGAGGCAAGGCGAGCCGCATAGAAGAGGTCTCTGCTCTTTTTTTCTCTAATTTTTATTTAGTTATTATAGATCTTATATTTAAAAATAGAGGACTATAAGATTACAATTTGAACAGTGTATATTTCATATTTTATAAAACTATGAATAAAATGTTAAACTTTTTGAAGAAATAAATAAAATCAAACTACTAAATTTAAGTCATGATAATTTAAAACAATAATAAAAAATATTTTATAAAATTATTTTATTTAATATGAAATCTGGATCAATTAACATGAAAAGTAGATGTGGGAATGGAGAGAAAATGAGGTGGAGACCCTTTCTCGCAAAACCCAACGTCAATGGTCAACTTAAGGGTCCGTTTGATATGTTGGAATTGATTTTGATGGAAATAGAAATAGAAATGGAGATGGAGATAGGATTTAAAGGTGTGTTTGGTATGTCATAGAAATGAGACATAATTTTTATATAAAAATACCAAAATATTCTCTTTGCTAAACTCAGTCTCGCTCACAAACATTCATCAAAAAATGAGGTTCAGCTTGAACAACCATGGAGGCAAATAAGCAAATCATCAACTTCAAACACAGTATAGTTCAATTCAGAAAAACAGTTAATCTCAATATCAAACCCATATAACCAATGAAATTTAAAAAAAAAAAAAATCATGTCTTGAACCTAGCTATTGAAAACTGACGATAGCAGAAGCATTGCCAAGCTAAAGCCCCCATCCTATGTATTTGGAAGATCTCCATAATAAGCCAGATCTGTGAAGCCATCATCTTGCTTCGCCCATTGTTGTGCTTTGGCCACGAGAACGGTGATGAGAAGCAGGGAGAAGATGGAGAAGATTGAAGAGGATTTAGATCTGTGAAGTTGGGGGCGCAGGTGCCGACAAGGAGCTTGATCTTGAGCGTAGAGGTGGAGAAGATGGAACATGCAAAGGTCGCTCAGGGAAGCAGATGAAGGCAGTCGTCGATGGTTATCGACGGCAACACTGATGAGTGGGGAGGTCGAAGTGGCGGCGGCGCCACTGATGAGTATGAAGGTCGTCGTGGACATAGCGCTGATGAATGGAGAGGTTGTGGCGGCAGTGCCGTTGATGAGTGGTGAGGTGGTTGATCGTGGCCATGTCCATCGTAGGTCATGGAGGTAGAAGGACCAGAAGCTTGAAGAGGGGGAGGGCAAAAATGAATTATGGGTCATGGAATTGCAAATCTTCACTTTTTTTATGGAAGCCAAATCCGGTAATTTTGATGGAATTGATTTCAACGAGGAAGCCAATTCCATGCCCCCTTGAGCGTACTAACCACGTTTAGAGCACAGAATTTAATTCCATTTCCATTTCCATGTCTCAGATTCTAGCTTACCAAACGGGACCTTATGGTATTGGGACCTGGATGTGTCACTCTCTGATGCCATTGTCCACGCTCGGGTGTGATGGGACCATTGACTTCGGAATTTTACAATTATTCTGTTTGGCCATTCTCAATTATACAGATTTGGCTTCAACAATCCTTTCACCAACTCGCAGCTTTGCCTCATCCCTAACACACGAATGGCTATCACCGACTGTATTCAATGCAATC